CTCAAAATTAACTTTGGTTAACTCTGGAGGTGTATTTTTTATTTAACTAGGTAATTGTTACTCTTTCTGTAAGAAGAATAAACCGATTGGGTTCTTTAGGTACTGTGGGCATAACTGATAACTGTTGCATCACCCAGTTATGACATTCATCAACCACTTGATATACTATATTCAAACAAATATTACCTTCCGTTGTCAAATGGCCTCCTTCCAGTATCCTCGTGCCAAAGTGTTGGCGCCGGTTTCAAATCGCCCATTGTCACAATCTGCATGTGAAAATATTGAACAATTTAGAATGCAAAACAAATTGAGGTAAAACATTTGGAGCAAGTTCACGTGGGTTAGAAGTTTGATTGCATAAAAAGGCTCAGTGAGTTCAATTTTCCATCAGGTATTATGTACAAGTAAGTAGATGTAATGAAGCTGCATTGGCTACAGCGTGATTGGAGGCAGATAGAAACCATTCAAACCCGAGACAATATTTAACAAGAACAGAACTTCAAAGATCAGGCCCCTAAAAGTACAAGTTTTCACTGCAGCAGCTGAGCCAAGGGATTATGACTTTTAGATACTAAATGCACAATACATAGGCCAGAACTGGTACAGATGTGCCAATTGAATTCATTTGCATGGGACCAGACAGAGAAGAGGCTTCTCTTACAAGTTACAAGCAGATATTCAACTTCTCAATAGATATAAAATAAAACAACTAACAAGGGAAGTACAAAAATGAAAAATAAAAATAAAAATCAATTATCAATGGCGCCAAACAATTTCTACTAAATTCACCTTCTTTGGAAAAATGACACCAGGGAGCGGTCGAGGAATGTGCTCATGAGCATCTGGAAGTTTGTATATGGCACATCTAAATACAAAAAATTTACAGGTCAAGGGTGAGGGTGGAAACATATAAAACTGATTAGCTACCAATTCTAATGATTCTCATTTTGTCTATATGTAATGTTGTGGAGCTTACAAGACTTGATTGTTCACAATGTCCTCCATCCCTGAAATAGGTGATCTGAAGACGGGAGGACAAGGATCCCCAGAACAAAGTGAGATATAGCCATTCATTCCACCACTGCACAAAGACCTAATTAACATCAGGGGAAGAGTCCAGCATGGAATTCAACTTATGGATTTGAAATCCATTTCATAAGTGTTGGAATATCACTTTCAGCTCATTTTTAACACTTCCACCATTAAATTTATAGCTCAACAATAATATGCCCACACGTCACACCCAAACAAATGGAAGAATAAACTCATTTATTATTCCAAATGAATTAAAGCATAATTCAATAGTTCATTCAGAATATAAATGTGAAGGAATATAAATGGATGATTAAAGAGCATCATTTAGGGTAAGACTGAAGTTGAAAAGGAGAAGCGCAAGACATCAGAAAACATGCGAACGCATCATAAAACATGTGAACATATCGAGCACGTACAGGAATGGAAAACATGTAAACATATGGGTACTCACATTAGAAAACACGTAAACATGTCGAGCACGCACAGGGATGGAGTAAGTGCAAGACTAAATAGCTATAAGCATCCAGAAACGTACATTTTCAACATCGACACCACTACTGAAGTTGGCCTTTTCATTTCAATCTGACCTTAGTTAACACTTTATACCTCCAAGAGCAGATAATATCCAACACCCTTGAAATTTTTCATGACATGTAGATAACCAAGAGTCTATGGCAAAGGATGCTGGAAAGACCAACCTGGCGACTGGATCAATCTGCTCATTGACCTGAACTCTTTCTTGGTCCGTCATCTGCTTACAGCGATCATCAAGCGAAAAAATGTATGGGGACAGAGTGTGCGACACCGATACAAAAAGCATGTTAAACATCACGCTGTTTCTTCGTGCTTCTTCTTCCTGCATTAGGGAAGTCAGATAGCTGGTACAATTTTTACACGTACCAAGCCATATTTTATTCTAGAACCGAGTGAGAAACTATACCGTAAGTGTGTGCTCTATCTTTGCTACCTCCGCTAGTAAACGCTCCTCATCAATGAAAGGCAGTTTGGCAACACCCTAAAATCGAGAGAAACATCAACGTTTGTATTCGTGTATCAAGACGAATTCAACTTTTCAAATTTAAACTATACCAACCTGCCAAGCAAACCGCTTGCCGTTCATGTCTACTTCAAAATCTGATGAACCAACGGAAAGAAAGTGAGATAGAACAAGCTTCTAGGGTCATTAATGAATATCACTAGCGGTCAAAAGGCATCTAATCATACCAATAGGATAAAAATCAATTATAGGTGAAGTTGGATCACTCATCAAGTTCCTATACTGCTCAGGCAAAGCATGAGAACTGCAGATAACCCCAAGTCAGAGAACCAAGAAGACATACGTGCACACAAAGCAAACAAGAAAAATCAAACCAACCTTGCAGCAGGGAAAACCCCCAGCAACTGATTGAACGGCTTGAATGGGGTCCCTAATTCAAATCTTATGTCCAGCCGTCCAAGATCCTTAAGGTCTGAAGCAAATGGTGCATAATGATACGGATAAAACCTGTAGAGTGCGTAGTATGCAGTCAGGTCTATGTTATAAGCGAAGTTAATAATTTGAAAACACGTATTACAAAAGCAAATCGGCAGACTGATGCAAAAATGTATGGACTTTGATAAGAATGGCCAAATATAACAAAGGAGAAGATTTCATTAGAAAGTGACATTTAGAAATCCAAGTCATGCATTCAGATCATCAGCCTAAGTCTTAAAACATAATAGACAATTTACAGGTTGCAGGTTCACAACTGGTCTTTGAAAATCACAACCCACAAATATTGTTAATTAGAAACATACAGAGATTTAGGGGATATGCAAGTAGACCACATTTACAGATGTGGAGTAAAGATATATAGGAAGACAGCCGCATTGCCATAAGACAAAATTGAAATATAACGTTTTCTTCTTTTACTAGATAAAACTGAAAATGTGTGTTAAGGGATAAGGAACACTTTTAGCTCCAAAATAACAACTGCAGTCAACTAAGTTGTTTCAGGTTATTCATCTCCCTAAATAGGATACACAAAGGCACTGAAACTGAATGAGTTTTACCAGTGATAAATTAAACAAATGAACATTCACTTGAAAATATAAGATGCTTATGCCATGCAAGGAAAAACCAAAAGGGAACCAAGCACTCGACAAAACAGCAAGTTAACTCTTTGTTTATGTTCTCAATAGGAAAGAAGCTGTAATCAAACTCATAAGAAAAACTTTCCATTGCCAGGAACAGACTCCTTCATAGTAGTAGTGCATAACCCAACATAACCCTTCAGTGTATTTCAACACCTGCAAGAAATTATAGCTAACTCATCAAATTTTCAAGTAAGATACGCCAAGCTGGAGGCAAACTAGACACGCGAGCTATATGTGCTTCTTCTATTAGTGAAGTTTCTAGAAAAAAAAAAATATATATATATATATATCAAACGGCGCAATGCACTTTGGGTCGCTACGGAAACAGCCTCCTTGTATAATTACAAGGGTAAGGTCTGCGTACAACTGACCCCCCAGACCCCAACTTGTTGGGTAACTTGTTGGGAATATACTGGGTATGTTGTTGTTGTTCCAGTGAACAAGCCACACAGGTTTTTACATTTTAACTCTGAAGCCTATCCACACAGCATATTTCAACTCTTGCACTTTACCATCTACAATTTGTTGATGTGACATGATATAGAACCTATTATAGTGAGGTTCCATCAAAAGAATCAAAGTTGAACAACTTACCACATCCCTTCGAACTGCTTCAAGTTCCTCAGGAGATTTTGCAGAAAACTTATCTTCGTAGTACCTCTCTTTCCACCCAGGTTCCCCCAGTTTGACCTAGAAAAAATAAGTCAGAATTGAGCGCTAAAATCAACTACGGCAGCAAGGGAACCAACATTGTCAAAACCATCAATCCAAGGCAGACATATGTTTTTAACTTTATAATAGTAAGCACACACATACAACTTCGACATTACTTTTTCTGCTTCTGGTTACCAACACATCAATATAATCAGGCTAAGGCAACCTTTCATGCTTTATAAACAACATAAATAACTAGTATATGGTCAGCAACATTGAGTAAAGAAACTGCACAGTTATTCATGT